GGGAACCGTTGGTGTGGCCGTTATTTATAACCTATCTGAGCCTCTATCAGCTTATGGTGGGACAGGCCCTTACTATTTAAAATAATCTTATCTCACTATCTTACTGATATTACAAATGTGAAAATCTAGATGGATGGGTGGAAGTTTGTTAAAATTTGTAGCCTAAACGGCTGAAAGGATGTCGATGAAATTTTCCATAGATGTAGAGGAGAGTGTGGAAGAACACATAGACTACTTGCTTTTTGTCTTAATTTCATGAGCCGATAACTTGATTTATATAAATGAATTGAATGTAATCTTTGTCAACTTATTATCTTATTTAATTGTTTTGTATAGTTAAAACATGTATATAAAAGTTATTTTTCCTCTCTATGGTACAGGGTGTTCAACAATATGAAACACGCATTCGGATACTACGTAACTGGAAACTACTGCCACAACTTACTTAGTGACAGCTTTTTACTTTATCAAATTATGTTTGGGGTAAGTGAAAATTCTACACAATATTTTTGTATTAATTTGCATGCTGATTTTTGTTTTAAACATCTATAAACCAAAGTATTTTTTATAAAAGCAATCTAAAACTGGTTTTGTTCCCAGAATAAGGAGGACTGGTTAGTATACGGGTTGATGGTTGTTGTATACTTAGGGGGACTTATTGTAATGTCTTTGGTACTGGAAGAAATACGTCGCGAGGTAATTTCTTACTTTTATAAAATAATTGAATAATATTTATTCAGATAAGTTGGTTGATTATTAAAAAAAACGTTATTCCAGAGCGTAGATATCGCAGATGACGTTTATAGTATCCCGTGGCAAAACATGTCGATATCCAACCAGAAGATTTTAATGATGGTGTTGGCTCGCTCACAGCCCCCTCTAGAGTTTATATCTGCGGGTGGATTACGAGCAGGCGTTCAGCCCACGATATCGGTATGTTGTCGAATTATGCAGAAATATCGTTTTAAAAAATTAACCATAACAAAACCTTCAGGGAAACACTGTTACATCCAGAGTATACTTTGTAATTGACATAAATAAATCTGATAAGGATTTTAATTTATTTAACGATGTTGTTTATTTTTCAGATTATAAAATCAACATTTACATACTATGTCATGCTGAAAACGAGCATAAAACTTAACTAATAAATTTCTTCATTTATAACTACGAGACTAAAGTAGCACTTATAACAAACTTTTAAAACACTTTATTAATGATTTTAAATCAAAAAAGGAATCAATAAATTGCACTTGATATTAAAAGTACTCAACTTAGGTTTCGATTTTATTGACACCTTGTTTATATTTAATCTGTAAATCGGATGTTTTTTATTCAAACATGTTAAAGTTAATTATGAAATAAATATTGTAATTATAATTCCGTGGGAAAAAGTGTTTTATTCGCTAGTCGCATTGAAGTTCCTATTTTTTGTAAGAGGAAAAGCGGAAATCTCATTATTTCTTTCAAATTGTTTTGTCAACAACTTTTTTTTCTTTTTTTCGACCATCAAATGTCAAGGCACTTGTCCAGATAAATTGACTTTACTTTTGTTTGATTCGCTTTTGGAAGTTGCAAATAACATAACTTTTATACCGCTTTTAATTGCATTTATTTACTAATATAATTCTAAACACCGTTAACTTTATAACAGTTTATTTTTATTTCAAAACTAGCTGTTCCCGTGCGGCTTCATCCGCATGAAATTATGAAAATTTTATTTAATTGTTTACATTTCTCAAATTCTTAAAAGCAAATGTCAAAATGACATGATATGACAAACCTTACCAATCTTTCTTTCTTGATGTTGGCAACAACTTATGGTCTCTTTCCCACATTAGGGTTTTTATCCAAAATATTTACACCCTAAGTTTATTGGCGTGAAAATATATAGCCTAAAGCGTGACGTAAGTGTAGGGCTTTTTATTAAAAAAAAGAATTTTTCGAATATGTGCTGTGATTGCTGACATCTTAGGCAACAAAGAAGTGTGTGTTTACGCTTTATTATATTAGTATATACAGATATATATAGTGATATTTAAGAATTCCAAGAGAAAATCCAATAAGCCAGTTTCGATGACATATGAAACACATTAGTGACTTTTCACACGATAATTCACTTTTGCGCTACGAAATGAAATCCGCTAGCTGTTAGACGACAATATTAATGTGCGAAGCGAAATTAAACAGATGTGATTTTATGACATCGAAGCCGTGAAGGATTTTAATAAAGTATGTGGATACATACGTTCAAAATCTGTACAATTAATATAACTGAAAGCGTCAGTATGAAAAATAAAAATGTGTTTTGAGAACAAGATTTTTTGGTTTAATCTCTGAAAAGGTTTGATTGTTTTTACGGGTCTTTTATTGGAAGGTACTAATGTAAGAGATCTCAAGCTACTTTTTTAAAGGTGACGTATACGAAAAAGAATAAAAAACATATACATTGACACTTTTAAAGTGACGTGAAAAAATTAATTAAGAAAAAAATGTAATATGTAAAATTAAATAAACTATATTATATATCTCTGCTATCAATATCTTAATTATAATATGAAAAAAGTTAATATGTTCGAAATCTACCAATTTAATTACTTAAGACGATTTAATTAAATTAATAATTAATTTGTAGAAACAACTGACAATTAAGATATAAATTAAGGTTAAATTACTATAACTAAGACATAACATGTAACTGGATTACATAGTAATAATTAATGTTGAAGTACTTAAGATTCGGTATATGTTTTATTACACTGAGATTTAATAGGATTCGTTTAAAAAGTATTAAGCGACTAAAGCAGAAATCAAAGCTTACTAATATTATAAATGCGAAAGTTAAGATGGATGGATGTTTGTTATAGTGTAGCCTAAACTGCTGAACGGATCTCGATGAAATTTTGCATAATATAGGTTTGGTAGTCTGGTATTCTTCTTTCAGAACACATAGGTTTGTGAAGAATATTTTTGCTTTTATAATTTCACGAAGACGAAGTCACGCGCTGTAACTAGTAAAGTATATTATTTATGTTTTTCTAAAATGATGTGACGTCATATTTTACAATTTCATATTTATTAACAAAGTCATCAGTTGTGTAAATAACGATGAAAGGAGATTGGTGTTCTGCGGGCGCAGTACAATAAATTACACACATTTCTGTTATAGCTTTTGGGAGCTTTCGCTTCATGGTTTGAAGCTTTTACGATACATCATAACTTTTACGCTACTGGTGTGACATCTATGTTGCGTAAAATACTATTTTATTTTACTGCATATCAGGCAGGTCATTTGTTAGAAGTTGTGTGTAATGAGAATATTTTATGCTTTGCAATATTTTTGTTTATTTCTTAATGTTAAACTGAGTTATGTAATAAATCGTCATCACGTTGTCCTTTTTCTTTCAAACGATTGGCAGAGAATGTACTCTTTCATACATCTCCATTAAGACTGATATCTGAATTCAATGCCTTCGTCTACCTTTGTACCCAGATGTTACTTGTCTATGCCCATCTCTGAGCATGACATATCCACGCTAACCTTTCGTACCAATATATTTGTCGTTGTGTTTAATCTTTTTAATTAGCAGTCAGTGTATAAAATGACATTGACGAGGGTCAATTCACAGGAGATGACGCACGCCTCGTCATTTTGCGTCATAAATTACGCTAATGCGGTCGTATTTTCATATTAAAATAGCCACAAATTAACCTGATTTTACATTGATATTATTTTCTAGGAAATTTGGTTTAACATCAATGAAGGCCCTTCAAGCTTTTTTAAGTATACTAAATGTCATTTTTGGAAATAAAAGATAGGTTAAAACATGTATTAAATTATACATTGTTTTAGTGATTAATTTGGCAAAACTTTATTTAACTTTAGAGGTGTTTAATTAATTTTCTTGAGAATTTTAAATCTATTTACTATAGTAAAATATCACTAGACTTTATCTTTTATTAAAACAAAATTAAACTATTAAAGTGACAGTACTCGTAAACTGTTAAACAGAAATCCCTCAAGGATAATACAATATAACCTTGGTACTTTGTTCGCATGTTCTTCGCAGTCTATTTTGAATATATTAGCCCTAAAAGGGTCTCGTGTCGATAATATGTACGAACTTCATACAAGGCACCTCTTTATTAGTGCAAAATATTATACTTAGAAGACATCGTGGACCACCCATTAACCTGTATTAGTCCCTCGTTATAATCGAATCTGTATTTAAAACTTTATCTGTGAATCTTAAATACTTTGACTACTACGAATTATTTGTAATCAATATTGTGCAATATTTTACACTGTACTTGATCGTTTTTGTATAGTCTTTTAAAATAAAAGTATAATACCAAATTGACTACGTGCTTATCAAAACTAATCAATCAGTCTTGGATATAGATGATAAACAAACTACAAAAGATTATTTAGAAACAAAGGGTAATTGAAATAAATGTTATTGGCTCTTTGTTACATTGTAATCCTAATATAATACATAAAACTTTGATATTAATACTAAAAGTATGTCGTCGAAATATATTTCTTTTTAAAAGACAAAAGCGAAGGAGGAAACAATGTTATCATTTCTATTAATGGAGAGGAGGCGTCTGCGAGGACGTGATTAAGTGGCTTTGCCTTAGCCCACAATTAATCTCTCATGATTAAAATTATCCGGCTAAGTCAAATAAAATTGAGTCGCAGCAACGTTAAATATTATTTCTTGATATTTATTTCATCTATTCCATTAAGATAAATAGTCTTTTAAGATATATTTACATATATACAGGATAGGATTTTAAAATATTTCAGCATGTCACAATTTGTGTCTTAGCCACGTCGTACTCATGACAAAGCTAATCTGTCATTTTGGTCTCATGTTGATACGTTCCTAGATCCCAAAACAGTCTACTACCGCAGTCGGGGTTGACCACCTCGCTTTAGTAGATCAAACCCCACATAACCCTGTTTTCCTTCGAGAAACTTGGTGCTTTTTCCCCAGTACAAAACTGCTTGGTGCGATAGGTCTTCAGTGCTGTAAAAATTTCTCATTACGTTATTTTTGAAACAACTGACATATTATTTTTTTCTACGGGTGTTTAGGCGAACACACTTTTAAGACGAGAGAAGAATAAATCATTTACTAAGAAAAAATATAACTTCACACTTCACTCCCGAGAGAATGTTGTTTATTCCTTGCAGCAAAGTTTTTGTGCAAACACATTTTCACGGTACGTTTTGCTCGTTACGAGATGGCGTCAACTAATTAGAATATATGGTTGCTACTATTTAACTAGTACAAATACAGAAACATACGTTGTTACCTCGTAGTATGACATTAGTACAGAAATTTTGACAGTTCTGAAATGATAAGATAGCTTTTGAAATATGCTGGAAATAATACTTTTTTATGATATACAATTGTCATGCGAGTGGTAATGAGAATCACTGGTCAATTTAGCACTATCGTGTGTTATCGTTGGGCCGATTGGCCCTTGTATCAATCGGCCCTAAGGCACTATTCCCATTAGGTCGATAGTCTGCATAGAGTTGGTGGCACAATGGAAAAAATACTAATATACTGATCGATCAGTGAGCCGATCCGCCCAACGATAAACAACCCCACTAATACACCACAATAATAGGAAAAGTTTCCAATTTTAAGTCTGATACGGAAATAAAATGCTTATTTAAGTTTGCATTTGCAAATAATGATTCGAAATTATAATTACTTTTCACGTTTGGATTCTGAGAGATCGAAATATTTACTGTGTCATGTTGATCATTTCCTGCAAAACTCGAGTTGCAAAATGTAAATAAGTTCAGTAACCAAGTTATTTTTCCTCTTTTATGCATTGATGCTTGCCGCTCAATTTCTGGAAACGAAAAACGAACGAACAAAGTCAGTTACTAATTGATACTTTTAAAATAAGTGAGCGAGTTTAAGCAAATTACATGCTTCGATATCGGTTATTATATCTACTATTTATTTATCTATAGTTGTGTCGCATTTTACATTGTATGAAATGACGACAAAAGGTATGTCACCTTTTTTAATATTTAGTAGTAAAATCATTTTTTCTTTAGCAACCTTAGATTAGACTTGTCCCTTTCAGCATGTACTACTATAAGTATAATCGGGGAATCTGG